CATGCTTTTTGTTTTCAATAAGTAACTCAAGTTCACTGGGTAAATTACTAAGCATCTTCTTTGTGAAGTTATAATTCTTATTAATTTCTCAAGATCGTATGATTTTTCTTCCCAAAAGTTAATCTCTTCAGTTAAAAAAGAGAATTCATTTGTAGAGCCATAGCTTGCAGAAATTGGTCCGTCTTGTATGACTGGTATGTATATTGGACATTTTCTGACAATCTTCTTCTCCGTGCATTAAATTTTATGGAAAATTGGACAGTACAGTCTTCTGCCCAGGCCTCCTTATTGCTGAACTGCTGGTCTGATGACTTGCTGTTTCTTAAGTGTCATCTGAAACCATACGAGGATGTTGTTTGACTTCTGTTGTGCTTTGATCAGGATGAAAGCTCGTGAAGGTCTGTTGAAGTGCAAGGAGCTTGGTCTGTCAAAGAATGAAATGAAGAAGCTTTTACCCATTGTGGATGTTAGTTCATCTGATTCAGGTAACTTCCGCATTTGCATGCTCATTATTTCACATGCACTTCACAACTTTCATGTACTCATTGTTTCAAGGGCAAACATTTAGTAATACTATCCTTTCATTTTTTTACATAATATAGGAGCTTTTGATGGGGTTCTTGAGCTTCTTCTTCGCTCTGGTAGAAGCCTTCCAGAAGCAGTTATGATGATGATCCCCGAGGCATGGCAAAATGATAAGAATATGGATCCACAAAGGAAGGCCTTGTATGAATACTTTTCTGCTCTTATGGAGCCATGGGATGGGCCTGCTCTTATATCATGTAATTATTTTATGTTAAGATATTTTAGTAGAAAGAATTTGATTTCTCTCTTTTTCATTTTATGTTACATCTATCTATAAACAATTTACTCATAAGTTTATTATTTGCAGTTACTGATGGTCGCTACCTTGGAGCTACTTTGGATCGTAATGGCCTCCGTCCCGGTCGCTTTTATGTAACACACAGTGGACGTGTTATAATGGCAAGTGAAGTTGGTGTAGTAGACATTCCTCCTGAAGATGTGCTCCGAAAGGGAAGGCTCAACCCCGGTATGATGCTTTTGGTGGATTTTGAGAAGCACATTGTTGTTGATGATGAGGCCTTAAAGCAGCAATATTCAATGGCAAGGCCTTACGGAGAGTGGCTGAAAAAGCAAAAGATTGAACTCAAAGATATTCTTGATTCAGTTCCAAAAACTGAAATAACTGTTCCTGACATAGCTGGAGTTTTGCCTGTAAGCAACACATTACTTTTTGACAGTTTTTCATCACTAGAGATTTGCATTAACTTCAATATTTCTCTTTTAAAGGCATCGAATGATGATGAGAACATGGAGAACATGGGCATCCATGGTCTGCTGGCTCCATTGAAGGCCTTTGGGTAAGTAAATGTCATGGCTCGTTTCCATTTTTTCCTTGAACTCTCATTTTATCAATGGATAGTATATGTGAACCCTGGTCTCTTGGTGCAGTTACACGGTTGAGGCCTTGGAGATGTTGCTACTTCCAATGGCAAAGGATGGCACAGAGGCCCTTGGCTCAATGGGAAATGATACTCCTTTGGCCGTAATGTCTGACAGAGAGAAGCTTACATTTGAATACTTCAAGCAAATGTTCGCACAAGTAACCAACCCTCCCATTGATCCTATACGAGAGAAGATAGTCACTTCAATGGAATGTATGATTGGTCCAGAAGGGGATCTGACTGAAACAACAGAAGAGCAATGCCATCGTCTTTCATTGAAAGGTCCTCTCTTATCCATTGAAGAGATGGAAGCAATTAAAAAGATGAATTACAGAGGTTGGAGGACCAAAGTTCTAGACTTAACTTATCCAAAGAACCGTGGCAGCAAGGGATTGGAGGAGACTTTGGACAGGATATGTGCTGAAGCACGGGAAGCAATTAAGGATGGTTATACATTACTGGTGCTTTCTGATCGAGGTGTGCATTTGTTCTATTGAAGTAGACTTGCAACCAAAGTCTTTATTAGAAAAATATCTAGAACGCACGTATTTCTTCTTTTGATTGGACCTTAGTTAATTTTTACGGTTCTTCAACATGCAGCTTTCTCACCCAACCATGTTGCTGTAAGCTCTCTTTTGGCTGTTGGTGCTGTTCATCACCATCTTGTTAAAAAGCTTGAACGTACTCGGATAGGACTGATAGTTGAATCTGCTGAGCCACGTGAAGTGCACCATTTCTGCACGCTTGTCGGATTTGGTGCTGATGCTATATGCCCATACCTGGCAATAGAGGCTATTTGGAGATTGCAGATTGACGGAAAGATCCCACCAAAAGCTAGTGGTGAGTTCCCTTCGAAGGATGAGCTAGTTAAGAAGTATTTCAAGGCAAGCAACTATGGAATGATGAAGGTTCTTGCAAAGATGGGCATATCAACTTTGGCTTCATACAAGGGTGCTCAGATTTTTGAAGCTCTAGGCCTGTCATCAGAAGTGATTGAGAAGTGCTTTGCAGGAACCCCAAGCAGAGTAGAGGGAGCAACATTTGAAATGCTTGCCCATGATGCACTTCATTTACATGAATTGGCTTTTCCATCTCGGGCTTTCCCTCCTGGAAGTGCAGAAGCTGTAGCACTGCCTAATCCTGGGGATTACCATTGGAGGAAAGGTGGTGAGATTCACCTGAATGATCCACTTGCTATGGCAAAGTTGCAAGAAGCTTCAAGGACCAATAGCGTAGCTGCATATAAGGAATATTCCAAGCGCATTCAAGAGTTAAACAAATCCTGCAACTTGCGGGGCATCTTAAAGTTTAGAGAGGCTGAGGTTAAAGTTCCTTTGGATGAAGTAGAGCCGGCTAGTGAGATTGTGAAACGATTTTGTACTGGGGCCATGAGTTATGGATCGATATCACTAGAGGCCCACACAACACTGGCTATGGCAATGAATAGAATCGGTGGCAAATCAAACACAGGTACTTCACAGAAGAACTACATGAACTGGAGTAAAATTTTTAAATGTTTGTGTTCATAGTTCTTTTAGATCAGATCAGCGAATTCCTAAATGCTCTTTTATATTTTGTTCTGCAATACTCAGGGAGCAGATATATTTCCCTTTTCCTTTTTCCTTCTAAAAAATTGTAGTTAGCTTGAGAATTCAATTTTTCTGAGCTTACCTTCTTCTGTTGGTTAATTTTCTTATACTTCTGTTCATTAAGATATTTTGCAAGAAATCATTTCCTTTAACTGGTGTTGAAGGTGAGGGAGGTGAGCAACCATCTCGTATGGAACCTTTGCCTGATGGTTCAAGAAATCCAAGGAGGAGTGCCATCAAGCAGGTGGCTAGTGGGAGATTTGGGGTCTCGAGTTATTATCTTACAAATGCTGACGAGCTACAGATAAAAATGGCTCAGGTATTTATGCGTCTGATGTCTAAGCTGTTGATAAGCATTCTGCAATTTTGTCTCCCCCCCTATGTTCCTCATGGAATAGAGGTTCTTGTTTATGTATTCATATTCATGTCTGATGATGCTGTGTTTGCAAAGCACTTCGTGGTGTTTTTGCATCTTTAACTGATTGCTGCACCTTGCATGTGGTGAGGTAAAAATATGGGCTAAAGTTACTTATTTGCTTTGAGTTGATTTTGACTAGTATTTGATTCTTTCAGGGTGCCAAGCCTGGTGAAGGAGGTGAACTTCCTGGTCATAAGGTTATAGGAGATATTGCAGTAACTAGGAACTCAACTGCTGGTGTGGGACTTATAAGTCCACCTCCTCATCATGATATCTATTCGATTGAAGATCTTGCTCAGTTAATCCATGATCTCAAGGTACATGGATATGCTTCCTCTTGTTTCTATAATATGCTTGTTGTTAGATATGCTTTTTGTAGTATTCTTTTTTTGGATTGGGTTTTAATTACTTTCATGATTTCATCTGACGCTATCAATTGATTTCTTTATTTGTCATTTTCTTCTGTTTTGCAGAATGCAAATCCTGGAGCCCGTATTAGTGTAAAGTTGGTTTCTGAAGCTGGTGTAGGAGTAATTGCAAGTGGGGTTGTCAAGGGTCATGCTGATCATGTTTTGATATCAGGTCATGATGGATGTACTGGCGCTTCCCGATGGACTGGAATAAAAAATGCTGGTCTTCCATGGGAACTTGGTTTGGCTGAGACTCACCAGACCTTGGTTGCTAACGACTCCGTGGGCGAACAGTTCTCCAGACAGATGGCCAGCTTAAAACTGGAAGAGATGTGGCAATTGCAGCACTTCTTGGTGCAGAAGAATTTGGTTTCAGTACTGCCCCCTTATAACTCTCGGCTGCATTATGATGCGAAAGTGCCACAAAAACACATGCCCTGTCGGCATTGCTACTCAGGATCCGGTTCTACGTGAGAAATTTGCAGGAGAGCCTGAACATGTCATTAACTTCTTCTTTATGCTTGCAGAGGAGATGAGGGAGATCATGTCTGAGCTTGGTTTTCGTACAGTCAATGAGATGGTTGGCCGTGCAGATATGCTTGAAGTTGATAAGGAAGTTATTAAGAACAATGAGAAATTGGAGAATATTGATCTGTCTCTATTACTTAGACCTGCTGCTGATATTCGTCCTGGAGCTGCTCAGTATTGCATTCAGAAACAGGATCACGGATTGGGCATGGCTTTGGACCAGAAACTTACTGCATTATCTAAAGCTGCTTTAGAAAAGGGGCTCCAAGTGTATATTGAAACTCCTATCTGCAATGTCAACCGTGCTGTTGGAACAATGCTTAGCCATGAAGTAACCAAGCGGTATAACTTGGCGGGCCTTCCTGCTGATACCATCCATATCAAACTCACTGGAAGTGCAGGGCAGAGCCTTGGAGCTTTTCTCTGCCCCGGCATCATGCTAGAGCTTGAGGGCGATAGTAATGACTATGTTGGCAAGGGATTATCTGGTGGTAAAATTGCAGTTTATCCGCCAAAAGGAAGTCGTTTTGATCCCAAGGAAAACATAGTGATTGGCAATGTGGCACTCTATGGGGCTATCAAAGGGGAGGCATATTTCAATGGGATGGCAGCAGAAAGATTCTGTGTTCGTAACTCAGGAGCAAAAGCAGTTGTTGAAGGTGTTGGTGATCACGGATGTGAGTACATGACTGGTGGGACTGTTGTTGTACTTGGAAAAACTGGCAGGAACTTTGCTGCTGGCATGAGTGGTGGTATCGCTTATGTCCTTGATGTGGATGGAAAATTTAAATCTCGTTGCAATATGGAACTGGTCGATCTTGATAAAGTGGAAGAAGAGGAGGATATCATGACTCTAAGAATGATGATTCAGCAGCATCAACGTCACACAAACAGTCAGCTAGCCAAAGAAGTCCTTGCTGACTTTGAAAATCTCCTTCCAAAGTTTATTAAAGTCTTCCCTCGTGACTACAAACGTGTTCTTGCAAACATGAAGGTTGAGGAGGCCTCAGAAGAGGGTGCAGGGCAAGATGAAGAGCAGGAGAAGGCTGAGTTAATGAAGAAAGATGCTTTTGAAGAGCTCAAGAAGATGGCAGCAGCATCCTTGAATGGGAAGTCCAGTCAGGTATACACTCCACCTGAAATCATTTCTTGTATCCCTTCTTTTTTCTCATGTCTTAACTTTTGTTTTCTATGATTCTCTTGCTGAATCATTAATCATATGCTCCATCTGTCATACATTTCTGTATTGTTTCTTGCTCCTGTCATGATTTAAATTTTCTTTTCCATGATCCTCTTACTGTTCATTAAGGTTTCTAGGATTCATGGCTTTGTCCAGTGATGATACTTTTCTGCAATATAATATTTATATTTGCTCCCTGTAATTTCAGTAACCTCCATATTAATTGCTTGCATGATCTGTATAAGGGCCTGACATGATTTCTGGATTCACAGACTGTTGAAGAAGCATTGCAGTTAAATAGGCCTAGTGAAGTTTCTGATGCTGTTAAGCATCGAGGTTTCATTTCTTATGAGCGTGAGGGTGTTAGGTATAGGGATCCTAATGTTCGACTGAATGATTGGAAAGAAGTTACGGAGGAATCAGAACCTGGTCCACTTTTGAAAACTCAGTCAGCACGTTGCATGGACTGTGGTACTCCTTTCTGTCATCAAGTAGGTGTTTTGGAAACGAAATAAATACAAGAACCTTTACATGCATGGTATTTTATTTTAATAGCCTTCTGTTATGAAATATGCAGGAGAACTCTGGTTGTCCTCTTGGAAACAAAATACCCGAATTCAATGAGTTGGTGTATCAGAATCGGTGGCGTGAAGCATTAGATCGTCTCCTGGAGACAAACAACTTTCCAGAGTTTACAGGGCGAGTTTGCCCTGCACCCTGTGAAGGTTCTTGTGTTCTAGGAATTATTGAGAACCCTGTCTCTATCAAGAGTATTGAGTGTGCTATCATTGATAAGGCCTTTGAGGAAGGTTGGATGGTTCCTAGGCCTCCTGTCAGGCGAACTGGGTAAGCATATTTTTGATTTCTTAAGATGTCATTCTATCTTTGAGCCATTCCTATTCTGTCCCTACTAACCATTTTCCATCGCAAAATTCCTTCAAAATGGTCATATATGTATATATGTATATATATATTTCTGAACAACTGCATAAGATCTTTTTAATGGAAATTCTAATAGTCAGTGTAATTTATTATCTTCCTTATTACAGGAAAAGGGTTGCTATAGTTGGTAGTGGGCCATCTGGTTTGGCTGCTGCTGATCAGCTAAACAGGATGGGTCATATGGTGACTGTGTATGAGCGTGCAGATAGAATTGGAGGTCTTATGATGTATGGAGTTCCCAACATGAAGGCTGACAAAGTTGATGTGGTTCAACGGCGCGTTAACCTTATGGCTGAGGAAGGGATTAATTTTGTGGTTAATGCTAGTGTTGGAACTGATCCCAGGTACTCTCTTGATCGGCTCCGAGAAGAGAATGATGCAATTGTTTTAGCAGTAGGAGCGACAAAACCCAGGTAAGCCTTTGTAGGCTGGAATTTATTTATGATTTTTTCTTATTTATAAATAAATTATTGGTTGCTTAGAAAGGACATATCAGTGGTGAGAACAAACTTATGAAAAATAAAAACATTTTAAAATCTGACTTGTCTATCTAATGACAGGGATCTTCCTGTTCCTGGACGAGAGTTATCTGGTATTCATTTTGCCATGGAGTTTCTGCATGCAAACACAAAAAGCTTGCTTGATAGCGACCTCCAAGATGGCAACTACATATCTGCCAAAGGGAAGAAAGTAGTTGTCATCGGTGGAGGAGACACCGGTACAGACTGCATTGGGACATCTATTCGGCATGGATGTACTAGCATTATAAATTTAGAACTTCTCCCCCAGCCACCGCAAACTAGAGCTCCTGGCAACCCTTGGCCACAGGTTGGTTAACTTTTCCAGATTCTTTATTATTGGTGCTAGTTGTCAGTGGCATGCTTCTCTCCTTCATTTCCCAAGAATCCTGATATTTTTTATTGCTAAGCTTTTTCTTCTTTAATTTAAATGGCAATTTTATTTGAGGAAAGAACAAGGTTCTGTTTCTTTTCTAGTTTTTGGTGCACTTCTTTTCTGTGCATATGTTGCCAAGATCAGTTTCCTGCATGGGAAGAGAAGTGACAATTCTAGATTTTGTGAATTGATCTGTACAGATTTACAATCAAAATTAGTATCAAGAAAATGTAAGAGTGCATATTTAGGTTCAATGTCCTTATCTAACTCGTTTTTGATTATTTTTGGTATGGCAGTGGCCTCGAATATTCCGTGTAGACTATGGGCACCAGGAAGCTGCTACCAAATTTGGCAAAGACCCAAGATCCTACGAGGTTTTGACGAAGCGATTTATTGGAGATGAAAATGGGGTTGTGAAAGGTCTTGAGCTTGTACGTGTTAAATGGGAGAAGGATGCCAGTGGACGGTTTCAGTTCAAGGAGGTTGAAGGTTCAGAGGAAATTATTGAGGCTGACCTGGTCCTTTTGGCTATGGGATTTCTTGGTCCTGAGTCGGTAAAGCACTAATTGCTTTTGTTTCTTGTAATTTTTGCAGTGGCATATTTTTGTTAGAATCAACTATCTTCACAAGAAATGTCGTGAACCTTCAAATCTATTTCCCTGAGTTCATTCTATTTCCTTTTTGAATAATATCGTTTACAAGTTCTGCCTTTTTTTTCCCCAGACTGTGGCAGACAAGTTGGGCTTGGAGCAAGACAATAGGTCCAATATCAAAGCCGAGTATGGTCGCTTCTCCACCAACGTGGAAGGTGTGTTTGCAGCTGGGGATTGCCGGCGTGGTCAATCCTTAGTTGTATGGGCAATCTCAGAGGGAAGGCAAGCAGCCGCCCAGGTTGATAGATACCTAACAAAAGATGAAGTTGACATCACTCAGAATCAGGAAGACTTTGTCAAGAGGCACGAAGACCTTAGCCAAAGGAACCAGGACAGCAGCACTCGAGTCATGACATAGACGACCGGTGCATTTTTTTCCCCCCATTTAGACACAGAAATAAGAAAAATTCATATAGCAGAACACAGATATTGTTTGGTGCAGATGACTTTCAGAGGAATCATGGAAATCGGCAAGGCATGCTCAAGCCTTGGTGGTTAAATCTCAGTGACTTAGGCAAGAAGAGGGTTTTAAGCCGAAGGGCTGGGATAAGTTACAGGATATACTGCTGTTCATCTTGTTCATAGGTTCTTTTGAAATAATATTTTCTCAGCTTGTTTTGAAGGTCTTCGAGGTGGTTTGGATGAATAATGTACAGTTTTTTTTTTTTTTTTTTTTACTTGATCCATGATCGGGAAATAAATATTGGGAACATTTGATATTTACTCTTAGTAACATTATAAAGCTGTGGAATCAGCCAATTACTTATAATTAGTGCATGCTCAAAATATTTGAAACTTATGCATGCTTGTGAGATAAGAGTTTCCCTTACTTCCAATTAAATCAAATCCCGTATAGGGTGAAATCTGTATGTAAATTTGGAGGGAGATCTCTCGTACCTTTCCATTTGCTCTTCTCCATGTTGATATAGTAATTGTCCCTGGCTCTGCCATATCATCTTTTTTTTACCAAGAGACATACTCTTCTAAAAAGAAGATTTCAGTGCAAATAAAATTTAGAAGAGAAATTGAACAGCCACAAACAGACACAGACGTATAGCCATGGTCTAAAGTAGATTTATTAGATTAGATGTTTCAGTCTATCCCCAGTTCGCAACATGAATTGCATAATAAAGCATTGCTGAAAACCGACTGGTTTCAAAAAGGAGCACATTCAACCTTTATGGGCTTTTATAGGGGATGTTCAATCTTAATCTTGAAAAACTCTCATTTCCAGCTCCATTCCGTCAATGGCGTGAAGAAATCCTCACACCAAGGCTTCCCGGATTGAAAGATCAGAAGCAGCCACCCAACTGCAAACACAAGAAAAGAATATATAATTACGGGTCGGTTAACACCATTAAATCAATTTCTGCGTTGTACAAAGAACAAAACGAAAATTTATATAAAGCGGTGTAAGTCAATGCACGTCTCCAAATTATTGAATTTTTTACTGGACAGTAAACCATTAAGATTTTCAAGTTAAATCTATGAGAAGAACATACCGTGATAATTAGAGTTAGTCTGAAAGACGTATAAGCCACGTCAGGGAAAATTTTTCTCAGTTATGGAGAATTTTTCTAAGCTTTTCTTTTTTATGTTCTTTTTGACTCTTTAACATAGAAGAACTTTATTTGAACATTGGTGAATGGGTCAAGGCCTTCTGTTACCCATGGTGGAGCTTGGGAACAAAGTGAATAACATGTTGATCCCATTGGAAGGTCTAATTTTCGTCATCTATGGATAACTTTCCTTCCCTCTCCTTTCTCCCCAAGATACATAAATTACATGAGTGACATCAGATACTGTCCTCCGCAAAACTTCCGTTTTCAGCCCAAAGATGGAAATAGGAACTTGAAAAGGATGCACTATTGAGAACCCTAAATTTGATACAGTTTAAATTGCAAAAATCTAGTATTTTGAAGTTTTATCAGCTTCCAAGAAAAACCAAACCCAAGAATGTGAATCCAAAATAACCGAAAGCACAAAATTTTTACTTACAAGGATAGCTTCTATTTCCCTCTCTGAGACTGGTGTACGTTTTGGCTGAACCGATGCATTCCCTCCCACAGCAGTGTTGGTGGGTGGTGCCGGAACATCCGATTCTAAAGTTATAGAGTTCTCATGGCTTGAAGCTACTGGTGCCTGGGAAACAGAACCTACATAACAGATGTCATCAGCTTCCGAACTCAAATAAGATACGAACCGATGTGGCCAACTCCAAAACTATTAATTTAATTATGTCTTATTCTGTGGATGGCTTATGCAAGATCCATAATACAAGGCATCTTATTCGCAAAGGAGAAGCACACAAGAACAGAAAAGTAAATGTATGCCTTAGCAGGGACTTCAGTAATTGCAAAGGAGCACCAAAATCTGAAATGACAAAGTGCCAGACAAACTAATATCTTCAGGAATGCTAGTATTTTCACAGTAATGTTTCATCTTTAGAGTGCAAAATTTGTGGTTCATTTTTTTTACTTCGATCTTCTTCTAGTAGCTTCTATCCCCAATAACCTAACACAAACTCATGCAGAGGGTATAGTAAAACAGGCAGACCCACCACCGAGTATTCTTAGTTATATATATATGTATGGAATATATTATACACAGATAATTCCATGTGATGTTAACATCACGAGATAATAAGCACACTGACACACACCAAGCTTTACAGTTTATTCCTCTCCTTCTTTGCTATTTGGCCTTCATCTTCTCAGTCTCTCCAGGCCAAAATTTCTTAAAATAAATTTAAGATGCACGAAAAAGACTTCTTATTGTGTCACTACATCATCTCTTTCATACTACTATCCCGTAACTTCAACACTAACAAATCTATCACTCTCTTCCTGTTCTTTGCCAAATAAGTTCCAACCCTGAGAGTATTTTAATGTTGATCTTTCATAATTTTATTTCGTATCTTACACACAGAATCTCTTCATCCACAAAGCTTTCCCAAAACAATTCGAACCACTGCTCTTAATTAAACAGGCGCAATTGATCTCATTCTCATTTAGTATAACATCGAGAAATCACGTAAAACTCAATTGATAATCTCTAAACAGAGGAAAGGGTAAAAGAAATAATAAATTCAGATACTATTTGAGCCTCTTAACTGTGTTATTTATTCAAATTGAAACAGCAATAATAACATGAACCATAACAACCCAAAGAAGAAGAAGAAGAAGAAGAAGAAGAAGAAACCTGAGCTTGATGAATTTTGGTGTCTTTGCGGAAATCTGATGCGGGGAATTCTCTTCATCGCCTGTCCTGCTCCCCCCATTTCGTTCCTTTCTATCCACTTCACCTTTCCTCACTTCACTCGCTGCTCTCTCTCTCTCTCCATTTAACCATAGCTTGAACTCTGGGCTTCAAGCCCATTATCGAAAGAGATTCAAATTCAAATACCCAATTAACCTGTTGACTTATAGCCCCAAAATGAACCCTACTCCCTCCGCAGCAAACACGACACCGTTTCATTTCTGTATAAACAAAAGCACCACATTTTCTTTCGCCTCTTTCATAAACTAGGGTTCCTTTCCTTTGTTTCGCAGAGGAGAAGAAGATCGAAGAATGGCAAGAAGCAATCTTGGCCGTATATTTTCATCAATTTCCGACCTTTCTACGCCCAAAATAAACCATTTCGTCATCCCTCCGGTGAGTCGACTCGTCTTCTCCTCAGCTCCTTACTCTCAAATACACCCCCGAGAAAACACAGAACAAAAGCAACAAGAAGACAGCTTCCAAGGAAAGCTCCCAAACGAAACCCAAGAAGATCAACGACAAGACAATGAAGAAGATGATGATGATGACGATGATGAGGAGGAATACGTGAACAAAGAAACCGGTGAGACCGGTGGTCCTCGAGGACCCGAACCCACTCGCTACGGTGATTGGGAGCTGAAAGGTCGCTGCTCTGATTTTTGAACCTTGTTCATCAGGGTTTAAGCATTAGTGTAATCTTCTTTTGGTCTAAAGTTCCTTACTTTAGAATTTTTCTTTCGCTAATAAACATCATAGTTGTCTTTTCTGTTAAATTTTGATGATAAAATTATGTATGAGAATGCCTGCGAATCTCTGCGCAGAGTGTTTGAATAAAATTTGGTGTAAAATTTATTATAATTTGATCATAAAAATTATTTTAAAAATATATAAATATAAATTAATTACTTTAAACTTTTTATTAAAAAATATTAAAATTTAAAATTTAATAAAATGTAATACAACATTTATTGGGTCACATTGAATTTATCAAATTAGAGATACCCTTTGCACTCGTAGAATCATTTGTTTGGTGGATCCAATCAATTTAGATAAGCCTTCACATGGCCATATTATACATCCCAATTAATTTAATTTATGTTTTGTTAATTTAAATTTGAAAGCCTTCAAATTCATGTACCTGGCATTTGGTTATTAGATATTTTTATTGAATTTTTGTTATAAACAACAATTAATTTATATATTTAGTATATTTATTGTTCTCTCTCTATATATATATATATATGTAATGATAAATTTCAAACAACACAATTTTCCCTCTCTGTCCAAATATTGACTGAAGTGTAGTCACATCTCTCACAGGTTGGATCAATTTGAATGCTTGGAGCATTTGGGAAAATACTATTTATATATTACTGGATTATTACCATATTAAGTTATAATTAAAACCCATGTAGACTTTTTCCTATACACGCTATTACATATTATATATATATATATATATATACATACACACACGCACATGTGTGTGTGTGTGTGTGAGTGGGTGTGTGTTTATTTACAGCTAAACTACCAACTCCAACCAGAGGAAAGAAAAAACCCATCAGAAATTTTCCATGAACAATCCGAAAGTCATCTCTTCTTCTCTTTGCTTCCTCCCTTTATTATTATTACTCCAAATCGCAGCAAGCACTGATGCATGTACAAACGGCGCCGTTTGCGGCCGAAACGAGCCAACCATCCGGTTTCCTTTTCGGATCAAGAACCGCCAACCTGAATCTTGCGGATACCGACCCGGTTTCGATCTATCTTGCGACGCCGTGAATCAAACGACAATAAATCTTCCATATTCAGGAAAGTTCACAGTCAGAGGCGTAGATTATGCAACGCAAGAAATCTGGGTCAGCGACCCGGAAAACTGCTTACCTAAACGGATTCTCTCTCTGAATCTATCGGGTTCGCCGTTCAAAGGAGTTTACTATCAAGATTTTACGTTCTTTAGTTGCTCAGCCGATTACTTGAGGTATGGGCTGAATCCGATAGCGTGTCTCAGTGACCGAAACGACACAGTTTTTGCTACGTCGTCTTCGGTGGTTATAAGTTCGCTGGCGAAGTCCTGCCGGGTGGTGAAAACCGTAAGTGTCCCGGTCGAGTGGCCGTTTTACGAGCAGGTGCCGTCGTCGGACCTCGGCGGCGATCTGCGGCTCGAGTGGAGGCGGCCAAGGTGCGGCAAGTGCGAGTCGAGAGGTGGGCGGTGTGGGTTCACGAGCAATTCTAGCCGGGAGATTGTTTGCTTCAATGTTCATCAACATGGTAAGTAATTTACTTTTTATTTTTTCGTTTAAAGAAAGTTGATGGCTTTTTTCCATTATTTTTATTTTATTTTATTCATTAAATATGGTATTAATTGAATTTAAAAAAAATAAAGTTGAAATTTATATGGAACTTGACTTATAAGCTAAATAAATTCTTAATATATAAGTATTTGGCTAAGTAAGTATAAAGAATAACAATAGAAAATGTAAGTAATAGGACTTGACAAGTATGTTTTATATATACATATATATATATATATAATACTACTATATTTCTCATCAAATGGACGACACGTTTTAGGATTTTGAAACTCTTAATTTTACACTTATACAATATAAAATATAATTATACAATATTTAAAAAAACATATCACGAGTTAGCTTAGTAATTTAAATGAATAGTTGACATTTATTTTTATAATTTATCTTTTTAGTTTTTCTATAAAAAAAATATTTGTCTTCCTTATTTTACTAAACCTAAATTTTCGTTACTATAAAATGATAAATTTTCAATGATGTTACATAATGATTTTTCAATAAATTGATTATGATTATATACATAAAAAATTTAGTTATTATATTTTATTAGATAAATTTTATATATTATAAAAATTATTTTTTAATCTAATTACAAATAACATTAATATAAAAGATAAGATTAAGGGTATTTGAATTTTCATAGAAATTAAATTTTTATAATCTTAGATAAGGTATTTACCATATCTTGTAACGATAGTGATAATAAATTAACAATAAGATATTTACTATACTTTATAAATTAAAAAAATAATAATAAATTTTATAAGAGAAGAAGAAATTTAATTAGTACAAGTCAAACATTCAACGCCAAGAAAAAAACCAAGCGTAAATCTAGATGACGGAAGAAAACAAATGGAAATGTTAGACTTGATGGAGTGTGATTTTTTTGTTTTTTAATGTCGAAGCGGCCTGTCGTTTGACTTTTTTAAACTTGACCTTTAAGCCCGTCAAGGGTAAGTGTTGACGAAATATTTTGTAGGACAATCGGACGGACCAGATCTTTCAAACTCTGTTCTTAAAGTCCGTTGACTTTAGAAAATATTTGGCCCCCCTGGCTCCGGTCAACACTTTCACATTGCCGATAATTACGTTTTAAGTTTATCTTTAGATGGGAAGAAGCGAAACTCAAATTTTTATCTCAAATTAAGATGCGAATAATTACGGAATCTAATCCGCTTGGTCAACAAAGTATATTGGTTGACTATGAGATTACGAATTTACAGTATTGGATTTATGAAATTAAAATAATATGGGCTTAAATTTGGTGAATCCAAGAGAAGCCCAAGAAGAGCCCATAATTGGTTTATTACAAATTTGATTTGATTGATGTTCTAAAAACTGAGTAATCCACAAAACCATTCTCAGGACTTCCGAGGAGCGCAAGGTACGCGGTGACGATCGGCGCCGGCGTGCCGGCAGTGTTGTGTATGTTAGGCCTGATATGCTTTATTTCCGGCAAGGTGAAGTCGTACGCGGGGAGGGGTAACAGGGTCAGAGAATTTGAATTCGGCAGCTCAATCGCACCCGAACCCGTAATAATAACGGGTCTGGATGGTCCGACAATTGAGTCGTATCCGAAAATTGAGCTGGGAGAGAGCAAGAGGCTGCCGAAGCCAGATGATAATACCTGCGCTATTTGCTTGTGCGAGTACAAGGCTAAGGAGACGCTGAAGACAATACCCAATTGTCACCATTCTTTCCATGCTGATTGCATTGATGAGTGGCTGAGATTGAATGCTTCTTGCCCAATTTGCCGTAATTCTCCACCCCCACTTGAATCTCAACCTTGTTGACTCACGTTTTTGATTCCTCATTTTGTATATAAATTTTTTTGTAATGTTAATTTTGGCTATGGTTTTTTGGTAGAATACATATTTTGTTTAACAACAATTTATAATTTTGATAAGTACAACCAATTCAGGTTCTGTCAAGCTCGCCAACCACAGGGATGATACCGAGCTTCTCCCTTCCTCCGTCACCCGCCAAAATCCCGCCATTTTCTTTCAGACCCTCAAACCCTCCCGGCCAAAAGCCTTCTCGCTCGCCATCGTCGTCACCGTCCATCAAACCCATCAACAACCCTGAGCTCCTTAAGGACCGTCTGATCGAGCAACTCGATGCTGGTCGCCTCCGCAAAGCAGTCTCCGCTCTTGAACTCTCGACTCGACAGGGTGCCCACCCCGACCTCATTACCTACTCCCTCCTCCTTAAATCTCGTATCAGGGCCCGCGATTTCCAGCTCGGCAAGCTCGTGCATGTCCACTTGACTCGGTCCGGACTCGAACTTGACTCTGTCATTTGCAACTCGCTGATTAGCTTGTACTCAAAATGCGGCGACTGGGTGCGAGCTAATGCGATATTTCGAAGTATGGGAAAGAAGAGAGATTTGGTTTCATGGAGTGCTATGATTTCTTGCTTCGCAAATAATGGAATGGAATTTAAAGCTATTGTCACGTTCCTTGATTTGCTCAAAACTGAGTTTGAGCCTAATGAATATTGCTTTGCAGCGGTAATCCGTGCTTGTTCAAATGTGGATTATGTTTTTATTGGAAGAATTATTTTTGGGTTGTTGATAAAATCTTGCTACTTTGAGTCAGACGTCTGTGTCGGATGTGCTCTGATCGATATGTTTGTGAAGGGCAGCCACGATCTGGACTCTGCATGTAAAGTGTTCGACAAAATGCCTGAAAGAAATGTAGTAACTTGGACTTTGATGATAACTCGATTTACGCAGCTGGGTTACCCGTTGGATGCGATTGATTTCTTTCTAGATATGATTTCTAGTGGTTACATTCCCGACAAGTTCACATTAAGCGGTGTGGTTTCCGCCTGTGCGGAGGTAGAGTCCTTCTCGCTGGGTCAGCAGTTGCATTCTTGGATTATTCGATCAGGATTGAACTCAGATGTTTGTGTTGCATGTAGTTTAGTAGACATGTATGCAAAATGTGTTAGGGATGGATCCATGGATGATTCTAGGAAGGTGTTTGATAGGATGCTTGATCATAATGTTATGTCTTGGACTGCCATTATTACAGGATATGTTCAAAGTGGCAGACATGATAAAGAAGCTATTGAGCTTTTTCACCGAATGATTAATGGGTGTATTCTGCCAAATCATTTTACTTTTGCGATTGTTCTTAAGGCTTGTGGAAACCTTTTGGATCCTCGAATTGGCAAGCAGGTCTACAGCCATGCAATCAAACTGGGTCTTGCTGCAGATACTTGTGTTGGAAACTCTTTGATTAGCATGTATGCTCGCTGTGAGAGGCTGGAAGATGCACGAAAAGCATTTGATTCTGTATTTGAGAAGAACTTGGTCTCTTATAACATTATAGTTGATGCGTATTCGAAGAATTTGAATCCTAAGAAAGCATTTGAATTCTTTCACGAAATTGTGGATAAGAAAATGGGAGTTTCTGCTTTTGTTTTTGGTAGCCTATTGAGCGGAGCTGCAAGCATTGGTGCTCTTAATAAAGGAGAGCAGATTCATGCTCAAGTACTAAAATCAGGGTTCAGATCAAACCAACAGATTTGCAATGCTTTGGTAGATATGTATTCTAAATGTGGAGACATAGAGGCTGCTTCCAAAGTATTCAACAAGATGGAAGATAGAAACGTTATATCTTGGACTTCAATGATCACTGGTTATGCAAAGCATGGATATGCTGAAAGAGCGTTAGAAACATTCAACAACATGATTGAGTTACGTGTGAAGCCAAACGAGATCACTTATATTCCTGTTTTATCTGCTTGCAGCCATGTTGGTCTGGTTTCAGAGGGATGGAAACATTTCAATTCAATGTGCAAAGACCATGGAATTTCTCCCAGAACAGAACACTATGCATGCATGGTTGATTTACTGGGAAGATCTGGTTCTCTTACAGAAGCTTTTGAGTTTATAAACTCAATGCCCTTCCCTGCTGATACTCTCATTTGGCGAACATTTCTTGGAGCTTGTCGAGTTCATGGTGAAATAGAACTGGGAAAGCTTGCTGCAAATATGATTCTTGAAAAGGACAAGCATGATCCAGCAGCCTATATATTGTTATCAAACTTGTATGCTTCTTTGGGTCAGTGGGATAAAGTGGCAGACACTAGAAAAACCATGAAAGAAAGCAATTTGATTAAAGAAGCAGGTTATAGCTGGATAGAGGTGGAAAATAAGGTCCACAAGTTCTATGTGGGGGATACTTTACACCCACAAGCTCTAGAAATCTATGGTGAACTAGACAAACTGGCTTTGAAAATAAAGAGACTGGGGTATGTTCCTGACACCAAATTTGTTCTTCATGAAGAACTAGAGGAGGAACAGAAGGAGAAATTTTTGTTTCAGCACAGCGAAAAAATTGCTGTTGCATTTGGTCTGATAAACACAGCCAAACTCAAACCTATTCGGGTGTTCAAGAACCTTCGTGTATGTGGGGACTGTCATAATGCAATCAAGTACATCTCGGTTGCATATAGAAGAGAAATAATAATAAGGGATTCGAATCGATTCCATCATTTTAGAGATGGAAGATGCTCTTGCAATGATTATTGGTGATAAGATTATAATTGCTTTTGGAAGTTCATGAGATTTGCTTCATGCTTATGTTCTTTGGAGGCTTGTGATTATTGTTCATATTTTGATTTCTCTCATTTTTTAAATTATTGGAATGAGTAATCGGAGAACCCACCATTTTGGACTCAAAATTTTTTGATGTGATTTGATTACGTGAATATTGTGTATATATTTTAAAAAAAAATTTGTGTATATCTTAAAAAGTAATACGAAAATATTTTTAAAAAAATTTCGTTAATTTATTTTTATAAGAGTTCTATATACTCTTTATTTTATCATAAGATATAAATTTTGTTTCGCTTTTATATGTAATCGTAAGTAATTTTTATCGAATTACGATAAATTTATATTTTTTTTAATTTAATACTTTGATTTATATGATTATGTACAAATAGAAATTATATTTTCTCAATAATTTTGTTAAATATAAGTTCTTGTGGAAATTTTTTAAAATGCAATCTAAAGTTTCTCCAAAGAAAATTGGAATTTTAAAGTCAATGCCACTGCTCAAGAAGTCGTGCAGGTCATGAGTATCTACGACTCGAAAGTTAACACGTGGACCTAAAAGGCCAAATTGTTGAAATCGGGTTTAACGTACAAGTCGGTCACCGTCTCCGACAACAGCCCAATCAAAACTCGAGATGTATTTCATCCCCGAGGCCCCACATTTTCGGGCCACGTCACCACACCACGCGACATAGAAAATATGTTCGAGAATCTCGCACCATACCAGGCGCGAAATATCGGCATTTTGACACAACACGCGAGGTCCGACTTATGACGTGTGATCCAGCATCATCGGACACGTGTCCTCAAGATACGAGAAGTCAAAATTCCTCGCAGGGCGAAAAGTAGAAAAAGAGAGAGAGCGAGAGAGAGAGAGAGAATGGCACAAACAAATCGCAGAGTTACAACACGAGACACCACGGAATTACCGAGTTTGGCGGGACCACCTGTTGTGGGCCCCACCCGTACCGGACAGAATCACTAACTTTAAATATGAAGCTCCATGTGTCCGATCAGAGTATCGGAGCCGTCCACGTCTCGGTTGAAAAATCCAAGTCAGTGGCGCAAAGCAAACCCATGTGGCGCAAGCCAAGGGGAACATCGAAAATCAACGGCTGAGATTCGTTGCTGTTTAGTCACTCCTTTTTTCGAGGATTATCGATATATTGAATGGATTTCAACTTTGATATTACATTGTCGTTCATCTGTTAGTTCAGCTTTCATGCAACCAGAGAAGAAGAAGAAGAAGATACCACGGCTCTATTCTCCGTCGGGAAAAGATCTCCGGCAAATGACTTCAGATATGGCCGACGAAATGAGTCAGCTCACAATGATCGAAACCAAGAATAATGGCCGTCGTAAAAGATTGCCAATCCGACGAGTGAAGTACACTTACCAGACCAGGACACAGATATCCATGATCACGGAAAGCAAAAACTTTGAAAGCTTCTCCGGCAATAATCGTTGCCTGGAAAAAGGGGGAAGCCAAAATGGTGAATCGAATTCCGCAGGTGAGAGTACTTTAACGGAGATATCACTGTCGGTGCTGTCGTCTTCTACGGATGTAAATATAAACTCTTCCTCATCAGGTTCTCAAAACGGCGTCGTTTCATCCGGTTTCGGAGACAGGGCTGGGGGAGATTCACACGGGTGGGTGTCGCTGATAGGGATGAGGAGAGAGATGGAGGATACGGTGAAAGTGGAGCTAGGTTTTGTAGCTACCGAAAGCGGAAAGTACGACTTCTTCGGCGTTTACGACGGGCATGGTGGTGCGCGCGTGGCGGAAGCGTGCAGGGAAAGGCTCCATAGAGTTTTAGGAGAGGAAATTGCAGCGTGGGGAGGAAATGGGAGGAAGAGGGTGGATTGGGAGAAAGTGATGGAACAGGGATTTGAGAGGATGGATGAGGAGGTGCGTGAAACGGGGCGTTTTGATGCGTCGGTGAAAACGATGGGGTCGACGGCGGTGGTGGCGGTGGTGGGGAAAGAAGAAGTGGTGGTGGCTAACTGCGGGGATTCCAGGGCTGTTATTGCTCGTGGTGGTTCTCCTTTGGCCTTGTCTACTGATCATAAGGTAACTTTATTTAAAATATATAATCTACATATATATATATATAACAATATTTTTCTACTTTATTTTACGATTAATTTATAAATTTCAAGCCTTATATATTACCATATATATATACATATATATATATATATATTACGGGCACAGATGATTCTGAATTTTTCTGGATTCTGGGGGAAAATGATAAAATGGGTTGGGAATGTTTATCTGGTTCCTTCGTGATAATGAATGAACAAAAAAAAAAAAAAAATCTATATATAATGTTGAACAAAGCTATATATATATATATATATATATTATATACACAAACAATAAAGGCCAACTTCAGTACTACTGCCTGGCAGCTACCTAAGCTAGCTGGTGATGATTACACAGAACTAGAAGTAGAAATTAATTATAGCTGTAAGTGTCTTGCAGCAATTCCCCAACTAAGTTGATGATATTTTTAATATACATATATATATATATATATTCTATAGTAATTAATTTTTTTAATTAAAATAGATTAAAAATTTAATCTAACTTTTTTATTAAAAAATATAATTTCATGCTGATTATAATTAATAAAAAATAATTAATTTCATTATTGAGACAGAGAAATCGTAGTGTGCTCGATTGGATCATAATTAACAAAGTGTAATTAGTTTAAATAATGTATCTTAGGATATTAATTGCCTTGTTTCATTTAATTAGTATTATTTTTACTTCTATGATTTGTGTATAATCATCGTCATACGTGACAACATATGATAAATTATTAAATTGGTTTATAATAATTCTCATTTATTATAATTTAGTTTAAGATTTAATTTTTGTTTTAAATACTTAATTTTAATTTTAATTTATTTTTTATGTTTGAATTGACACTCTTAAAACGGTGCGTAGCCTGACAGGGTTGATGAATTGGAGAGAATTGAAGGCGCCGGTGGAAGGGTCATAAACTGGAATGGCCACCGTGTCTTGGGAGTTCTTGCTACCTCCAGATCCATAGGTAAATAACAAATCACCACAAATTTTACTTTTTTAACTTAATTAATTACCACACTTTTTTACCCATTTGATTACTAATTAACCAAATTAACCGTTGAAAATTTAACTTTAAAAAAAAAAATTAATGATACGATAATAAAATTTTAACACGTAGGTGATCAGTACCTCAAACCCTTCATAATCTCCAAACCAGAAGTAATAGTACTCGAGCGGACCGAAGCCGATGAGTTCCTCATTCTAGCAAGCGATGGCTTGTGGGATGTCGTATCGAATGAAGAAGCATGTCGTATTGTGAGGAAATGCCTTAATGGCAATGGCCAAGTGCATGGCTATAAGGTTGTGCAAGAAAAATCAGTAGCTGCGATGGCAGCGTTAGTGTTGGCAGAGTTAGCCATGGCTCGAGGTAGCAGAGACAATATTAGCGTTGTGGTTGTCGAGTTAAACAGGTTCAACTTTTGTAAGTACATTTAATTAGTTTTTTTTTTTTTTTCATATGGAAGGTTAAATTGTGTATTAACTTAATATAATTATTTTAATTAAAAAAATTTAATTTTTACGTAATATTTATTTTATTATAATCATAATCACTTATTATAATAAAACCCAATGTGATCGTTTTAATTTTATTAACATATAAATACATTTTTAAGTTATAAATTAAATTAATTTTATGGGTTAATCATCATTAACCCATAAAATAATAAATCTTATGTACATAACAAGATTTGGACTTGTCTCTTTTTAATTAACAAGTTACAAAATAGATAATTAATTACAAGGTTAAAATGGAGAATTACACCAATGTCAACAATCAACATGGGCCTTTGAAAGAGCTCATGGATTTGGGTTATTTGACATGATGTAAACAATTTATATATATATATATATATATACCACTAATATATATATATATATGGCATTGAATTTTCTGTCATAAATTAATAATCAAAATTTTCTATTAACTTAACCCTTTTATTTAATTAGTTTAAATTATTAATTTTGACCTTGCCTTTCTCTTTTAGAAATACAGACCCTCTTACACTATACATATTCATTAGACATAATCATAAAACAAAGAGAATAATTTAAGAACACGATAACAACATGCATACATCATAAATAATATTTTGATGTGAAATCATAATTAGTATTTTATTATAGCTATATATATATATATATCCACATGGTTAATTGAATGTTACCGCGAACTAATCTATTTGTTACTTATGATATACATATATATATAATATATAGCTACCATAAATACCATCATCAACTTATTTATCATAAAAAAATAATTAGATAATTTTACCTTATAGTTAAATATTTCGATTTTTATTTAAAAATAAATAAGTTTAAAAAAACCCATATATGTAATTTTATTAAAAATTCATAATACACAATATTTTTTTTTTAATTTATCGAATATGCAATAAACTCTTTTTTCATAGTTAAATATATTTTTATAATAAAAATTTTAAATTATTGTAATTATTATAATTAGCAAAAATTAATCGATACGAAATATATCTTTTAGGGCAAAAACTTCAAAGACACATTTTATAAAATAGTCCACCACACCTTTAATTCATGGCCAACCACGTATACTTCGTACTTCTTGAGTTTGCTTCACTTTTCAAAAAGACAAACGAGAGGCACATAAAATCATATCTTTACATACATGTATACACACACACACATATATATATATATAGAT